TGATCCTGAGTGGGAGGCTCATTTTTGTGTAGGTTGAGCATTGTCTTAGGTGATGCCTCCCGGATACCTGAATTTTCTAAACTTTTGACAGGTTTGCCTTTATTTCTGTGAGATAAGCCTCCACACTATGTTTTCCAGTTACTATGTTCTAATGAGAATGTACCTATTACAAGAATAAGCTATTGCCAGTCTTCATTCAGTCATAGTGGCCATTTTCTCTTTTATGCCATTCATTGTTTCCAGGTGTTACTGGCTCCCTTCTTTTCTAGCTTCTAAACAGTAAATAATGCCTTTCCAATAAGGAATAGTGCATTGCCCTGGTACTCTTCAAGAGATTGGAACTCCTATAAGTTATTCTTACCCTGCATTCAATCTTAGGGCCCAATCATTGCTTCCACATGTAGCAGGTGGAAATGCACCACGGTGAGCAGCTCTGCCATATTCCAGGGCAGCTGTTCCTGCTTCTTAGTTGTTAGTACTGCTTTTGTTATAATAAAGAATACATAGTAGTGGTAATTTTACTGAGATTCCAATTCCTTTAGTTTTAATTATTTTTCCTATAAGTACTGCTTTTGCAGTAATGAAGAATGCCTTGTAGTGGTAATTTTCCTGAGATAAAAAATCCTTTGGCTTTATATATTTGGAATGTAGGTACTGCTTTTGCAGTAAGAAACAATGCATTGTACCATGTTTTGAAAAGTTTCATGAAAAACAATAAAAAGGCTAAGAACAAGGAGACTAACTGCCCATCCTGTGCCATCCTCACAATCCTTATGTTTGAGCCCATTGTTGCAGCTGCTGTGACAATCCATCTTATCAAAGGTCTTCTTCTTTTTTACTGTCCCTCTACCTTACAAAGTATGATGTCCTTCTCCAGGGACTGGTAATGTCTGATAACATGTCCAAAGTATTTCTTCCAAGACAGAACCGTTCACTCTACTGGCAGTACATGGTATATTCAACATTCTTCACCAACACCATAATTTAAAGGCATCAATTCTTCTTCTGTCTTCTTTATTCATTGTCCAGCTTTCGCATGCATATGAGGTGACTGAAAACACCATGGCTTGGGTCAGGCACATCTTAGTCTTCAAAGTGACATCTTTGCTTTTCAACACGTTAAAGAGGTCTTTTGCAGCAGATTTGCCTAATGCAATACATCTTTTAATTTCCTGACTGCTGCTTCCATGGGCGCTGATTGTGGATCCAAGTAAAATGAAATCCTTGACAACTTCAATCTTTTCTCCATTTATCATGATGTTGCTTATTGGTCCAGTTGTGAGGATTTTTGTTTTCTTAATGTTGAGGTATAATCCACACTGAAGGCTGCAGTGTTCATTAGTAACTGCTTCAAGTCCTCTTCCATTTCAGCAAGCAAGGATGTGTCATCTGTATATTGCAGGTCGTTATGAGTCTTCCTCCAATCCTGATGCTCCGTTCTTTTTCACATAATCCAGCTTCTTGGAGTATTTGCTCAGCATACAGATTGAATAAATATGATAAAAGGATACAACCCTGACGCACACCTTCCTGATTTTAAACCATGCAGTATTTCCTTCTTCTGTTCAAACAAATGCCTCTTGTTCTGCATACAGGTTCCTCATGAGCACAATTAAGTGTTCTGGAGTTCCCATTCTTCACAATGTTATCCATAATTTGTTATGATCCACACAGTCTAATGCCTTTGCAAAGTCAATACAACACAGGTAAACATCTTTCTGGTATTCTCTGCTTTCAGCCAAGATCTATCTGGCATCAGCAGTGATATCCTTCATTCCACATCCTCTTCTGAATCTGGCGTGGATTTCTGGCAGTTGCCTCTTGATGTAATGCAGTGACCATTTATGAATTATCTTCAGCAAAATTTTACTTAGGTCTGATATTAATGACATTGTTCGATAATTTCTGCATTCTGTTGGATGACCTTTCTTTGGAATGGGTACAAATATGGATCTCTTCCAGTCAGTTCTCCATGTAGCTGTCTTCCAAATTTCTTGGCATAGATGAGTGAGCACTTCCAGCCTTGCATCCATTTGTTGAAACATCTCAACTGGCATTCCATCAATTCCTGGAGCCTTGTTTTTCGCCAGTGCCTTCAGTGCAGATTGGACTTCTTCCTTCAATACCATTGGTTCTTTATCATATGCTACCTGCTAAAGTAGTTGAACATCAAACAATTCTTCTTGGTACAGTGACTCTTTGTATTCCTTCCATCTTCTTTTGATGCTTCCTGCATCATTCAATATTTTGTCCACAGAATCCTTCCCTATTGCAACTCGAGCCTTGAATTTTTTCTTCAGTTCTTTCAGCTTGAGAAATGCCCAGCATGTTCCTCCCTTTTGCTTTTCCATATCCAGGTCTTTGCATATTTCATTATAATACTTTACCTTGTCTTCTCGAGCTGCCCTTTGAAATCTTCTGTTCAGCTCTTTTACTTCATCATTTCTTCCTTTTGCTTTAGCTACTCCACTTTCAAGGACAACTTTCAAAGTCTCTTCTGACATCCATTTTGGTCTTTCTTTCTTTCCTGTCTTTTCCATGACTTCTTGCTTTCTTCATGTATGATGTCTCTGGTGTCATTCTACAGGTCCTCTGGTCTTCGGTCATTAGTGTTCAATACATCAAATTTATTCTTGAGATGGTCTCTAAATTCAGGTAGTATATACTCAACTTGTTTTAATTTTCTTCAACTTCAACTTCCATATGAACAATTGATGGTCTGTTCCGCAGGTGGCCCCTGGCCTTGTTCTCACTGATGATATTGAGCTTTTCCATTGTCTTCTTCCACAGATGTAGTCGATTTGATTCCTGTGTTTTCCATCTCGTGAGGCCCATGCGTATAGTTACTGTTTATGTTGCTGAAAAAAGGTATTTGCAATGAAGAAGTCATTTGTCTTGTGAAATTCTATCATGCGATCTCCTATGTCATTTCTATCACCAATGCCATATTTTTCAACTACTGGTCCTTCTTCTTTGTTTCCAACTTTTGCATTTCAATCACCAGTAATTATCAATGCATCCTGATTGCATGTTTGATCAATTTTAGACTGTAGAACTTGGTAAAAATCTTCCGTTTCTTCATCTTTGGCATTAGCGGTTAGTACGTAAATTTGAATAATAGTCATGTTATTGGCATTAGCGGTTAGTATGTAAATTTGAATAATAGTCGTATCAACTGGTCTTCCTTGTAGGCATATGGATGTAATCCTATCCCTAACAGTGCTGTACTTCAGGATAGATCTTGAAATGTTCTTTTTCTCAATGAAAGTGACACCAATCGTCTTCAATTTGCCATTCCTGGCATAGTAGACCATATGACTCTCCCATTCAAAATGGCCAATATCAGGCCATTTCAGCTTACTAATGCCTAGGATATCTATCTTCAAGCATTCTATTTCATTTCTGACAATTTCAGTTTTCCTAGATTCATACTTTGTACATTCCATGTTCTGATTATTAATGCATGTTTGTAGTTGCTTCTTATTTTGAGTTGTGCTTACATCAGCAAACGAAGGTCCCGAAAGCTTGATTCCATCCCCGTTATTAAGGTCGACTCTACTTTGAGGTGGCAGCTCTTCCCCTGTTGCATTTTGAGTACCTTCCAACCTGAGGGGCTCACCTTCCGGCACTATATCAGAAAATGTTCCATTGCTATTGATAAGGTTTTCACTGGCCAATTTTTTTAGAAGTAAATTACCAGGTCCTTCTTCCTAGTCTGTCTCAGTCTGGAATCTCTGCTGAAACTTGTCTACCATGGGTGACCCTGCTTGTATTTGAATTACCAGTGGCATAGTTTCCAGAATCACAGCAATACGCAAGCCAACACAGTACAACAAACTGACAGATGAGTGGTAGAATCACTGAAGCAATTATGTCCCTACAAATTCTCTCTGAAAATTCAAGTACCTTACTTCAGGTTTCCCTGGGAGGCACAAAAGGTTTAAGTGCTTGGCTACCAACTGAAAGGTCGAGGGTTCAAATTCACTCAGAGGCACCTTAGAAGAAAGGCCTATTGATCTGCTTCTGAAAGGTCACAGCCATGAAAACCCTATGGAGTCCAGTTCTACTCTATAACACATGGGTAACTATAAGACAGAATCAACTTGATGGCCACTGGTTTTTTGGTTTTATCTTACTTCAGTTTGGGCTTCACACAATTGTGGTGCATCCATAGGTAGAATGCAATGTAGCCATTAAAAATAACTATGGAATTCTACATTTATTGATACGGAAAGATGTCCATAATATACTTTCTCTACAAAAAAACAAATATACATATGTGTGTACAATAGAAACGTGTGGAAGGATATTTAATAAAATATTAATAGCAGCTACCTCTAGTTCGAGAAGTATGGGAGATTTTACCCTTTTTATACATTTCTCTATTTTTTATTTTTATAATAGATATTTATCATTTTTATAACAGAAAAACAATAAGGCTATTTTCATTTTGATAAAAAGAAAACTGAAAATATTCCAGGATGGGAAAACCACTAAGTTATTAGCCCTTAATAAAATTTCATTTACCAATATTTGTAAGTTAAGGTGAAAGTCTCCTATGGAATAAAGCCCAGGTGCAGCATATTTTAAAATGGAAAGGAGAAAAGGGCTAATGGCAGACTAGGCAAAGAGGTGTCCAGTCATGTACTAAGCAGTCTATGGATAGATATGTCTTATTCTGAGGGGATTCCCATAGAGAAAAACTGATAGACCACGGAAGACAGCTGTAGTCCTCTGACCCAAGAAATACCAAAAGTGAGAAGGCTCACTACAATCTGCATAGACTCAGAGCAGATCTTAACTTTACCACAATTCCTGCTTTCAATATTATAGAAGATACCACCTTACAAATGATGTTCACTTCTTTCCCCACAGCAAGCCCTGGATGTAACAGAGGTTTGTTTTTTTGTTTTTTTTTAATATATTTTTAACAGATTTAAATTTTTTAATTTATACTTTACAAAGACTAAATGGAGAAAATGGCATGTTAAACTACTCACCTCTGTAGGAAGGCATGTCTGTACATAAGCAGATGTTCCTGGATGTGACACCACAGTCCCACTTTTAATTTGAAAATGCGTTTTGCACATGTAGCCATCAGAACAGTCCTGTGTTGCATCACCAACGAATACATAAAGAAAATGTCAATTAATTTAAGAATTTATCGTTTTAAAATACAACTTCTCACAAATTCCAAACCAAGCAATGAAAAACTAAGTTTATTAAATGAGATAATATATAGCTCCTATTCCAATACCTCCTGCACATAGTAGGCACTCAATAAGTAGAAGTTTTATTCTCTGATGTTTTTCATTTGTTAATGTTTCCTCTTTTCACAGACAATGTTAATTAAATCTCTTCCCTCCCTTTTTTTTTGAGAAATCCATAGCACCTAGGTCAAATAGGACAAACTTTGAGCTTTGCAGCTGTTGAAAGCATTTAAACTTATAAAAATATCTTGTCACATAATCAATATTAGTTTTATCACATATATATGTATATTCAGAGAGAGGGAGAGAGAAAGACAGAGAGCCCTCGTGGCTCAATGGTTAAGCGCTTGGCTGCTAACCCAAATGTTGGCAGTTTGTACCCACCCAGCAGCTCCAAAGGAGAAAGACCTGGCAATCTGTTGCTGTAAAGATTACGGCCTTCAAAACCATATAGGGAAATTCTACTCTGTCACATGGGGTCACTATGAGTCAAAATCGACTTAACAGTACCTAAGAACTATACATATATATATACGTGCGTGCGCGCACACACACACACTCACATGTGTATATATATAGAGAGAGAGAGAGAGAGAAAGACATATATATATATACACACACGCATAGAGAGAGATTTTACAGACTTGCAATAGATCTTGAAGCTGGAAGGGACCTTCCATTTCAATTTCTCATTCAAGGCAAGACCTCCATTAAAACATCCTAAGAAGGTAATTATGCAGCATTCGCCTGAGCACTTCCAGGAACCAGCGCTTTATCACTTACACAAAAGCTGCTTCCATTTTGGTGTGTTGTACTTTGAGAAAGTTTTGTCATATCACATTGAAATGTTTCCCTTTAACCTCAACTCACTGGTTCTAGTTCTGCCCTCTGCAGTCTATTCCCTTTCCCATAGACCTGTTCTTCAAATAGACAAAGAAAATTACTACTGTTTTTAAATATTCCTTTCAAGATATGCTTTCTAAGCCCTTCACCAATTATATTTCTCTCCTGTTTCTTGTACTTAGTCTTAAATATATTAATGGATGACGTTTCATTTAATCGTGGTCCCTTCATTGTCTCTTATTGTTTTTCACTAAGCATCCATTCCCCTTTCTTTTGGAACACTTGCCAATTTTCTTCTAAGGAATCATCTCCTTCTCCACTGTCATTGTTGACATGGCCTCCTCAGCTCCAGGGAAGGGCACGGGACTCTGATCTGCCCAATCAGGACATTACTCCTCCTGGCCTCAGTGACTTCAGAAGGAAAAATAATCCAACCTGAGCCAATGAGATGCAATTTAGAACTTTGATTTGGGGTGAGGGATGGTGGGGTGGGGGGTGGGGGGAAATGCTGCTCTCTTTTCCACTGGATTTGAACCAAAGAGATAAAACCTTGGCAATGTTGGCAGCCATCATGTAGCTAAATGGAGCCTAAAAATGAAGCCAATGCAAAGGAAAGCAAGGCCATGAGATACTACAGAGAAACCAGGTCCTGATTATACTGTTTATACCAACCATACCTGAAGTAGGTATGCCCTCAAATTTTTCAGTTGTATGACCCCAAAAAGTCTCTTCTTTGCATCACTATTATGGATTGAATTATGTCCCCCAATAAGGTATATTGATATCCTAACCCTTGTACTTGTCAATGTAACCTTGTTTGGGTCTTTCTTGAAGATATTATATTTGAAGATATTATCAGTTAAGTTCTACCTGAGTAGGGTGGACCCTTATCCTATATGACTGGTGTCTTATAAAATAGGGGGACGGACATGGAGTCACACACAGGCGGAAGAGAGAATGTAAAGATCCACCTACAAGCCAAGGAACACTCAGGGCTACCAGAAACTGAAAGAGACAAGGATCCTCCCCCAGAGCCAAAAGAGAGAGAGCATAGCCCTGCCAAAGCCCTGAACTTATACTTCTACCCTCCAGAACAGTGAGAAAATAAATTCCTGTTCTTTGTGGTATTTCGTTATGGCAGCCCTAGGAAACAAACAAGTTCACCCAATTTGAGTTGGGTGTTCTGTCACGTGCAAACCAAAAGGAGCTTGCAATAAAATGGCATCCATTGTTTTCAGTAGTTTAAAATAGGAGATTCTCTACTGCATTGTATTATTACTCTCATTAAGGTAGATAATCAATAGTTGATTATATAAAAGATTTACCAAATACAATAAAACTATAATGTTATGTTTTTGTATGAAAAAGGACTGGCAATTCAGAACTTCAAAATGATCTAGCAAAAAAGAAAAAAAAAGTTAAGATATTCAAAGAACTGTTAGAGCTAAACTATGTGTATTAAATGCAATAGTATATCAAATGAGAGTAACTGTTCTATTTCACAGTTTTCTACACCTGAGCTCAGGTCATACAACGTCTTCTTAAGAGAACATACAATTTAGTAAAACTCACATTACAATGCAAAATACACCACCTTTGACATAAAAAGAGGGTGAGTCAAAAATTCCTGTGCACCCATGTCATAAAATTGAAATAAATGATCTGGTCCCTTTTCTAATGAGTTATGATACAGAGATATATCATTTTCAATATTACTTATACTTGAAGAAATTTTTATTTCTATTTTAAGTAATGTATAATACTTAATATTTATTATTATCTACAGGGAAGTATACAAAAGATTTTTGACTCAACCTATTTCTGATCATGGTGGTTTTCTTTTCTGTATCAATCTCTTTCAAAATTAGCCTTGAAAAATATAATCTAGAAAAAGAGTTTATAACATTTTGGTTTCCCTTGAAACATTTACTTCCACAGAAGTAGGTCTTCTCTTACGTTGTTGTAATATAAGGCAGAAAATATTTTGTTGTTTGCTGTTGAAAGATGCTTTTTCAGAGACAAGCAAACACAAAAACATGAGAAATGCCACCCTGAGTCAGCTCTAGCCCAGTATGAAGGTTAACTCAAATCTCCCCTTTGCAATGAATCTTTCCTTGACTACTTCAATCAACACTCCTCTTTGGCATCCCTGAATTCTTTTTGTACTTACCGTGGCCTCCAATTTAACCTTTAACTCTTCTTTAATTTTTTACCATTTGTTATTTTTATTTCAACAAGTAGATCATAACCTCAGGGTCTAAATCCCAGCCCCTGGTGAGAAAGGCCCCTAAGGGAGAAGTCAGGGTCATAACTACAGAATCCAGACGCCCACTCCACATAAAAACCTGATCTAGACTGAGTCTGAAAACATCCTGGACAAGTGGCAGAGGATATAAGAACAAACGAAACCTTACAGCTTATCCAATTAAACCCTCTCATTTTAGAGATAAGAGGGTAGAGGACTGACGCACTTCTATGTCAAGAGACTTGCCTTATAGCTAATTAGCGCCAGAGCCGGAAGTGGGAAACAGGCCTCTTGACCTCAGTGTTCTTTCTATTACACTAAGCAAATTCTGCCATAGAGCAGGATCATGCTTGAAACATGCTTAGTGATATCTCATGGACTAGTGTAGGTCAGTGCTTTACACTTCGAGTAACAAATTCAAGCCACTCAAGTGTGGTCTAGGAAACCAGCAGCACCTGAGAGCTTGTTAGAACTGAAGAATCTCAAGCCCTATCCCAGACCTACTGAATACAAATCTCTATTTAACAGGATTCCCAAGGGATTCACATGCATATTTTTTTTTTAGGAGCATTGAGGCAGCTTGCACTTCAATCTTTGATTTAAAGGAACTGCAAACTGATTGCACTAAACAGTAGTTCTCAACCCTACCTGCACCATAGAATCACCTGGGAAGTTTTCAAAATGCTGTTGCTGGGGTCTCATCTCAGAACAACTAAGATAGAATCTCTCCAGCAAAGTCTAATGCAACAGCCAACGGTGAGAACCACTATGTGAAACTCACTGGGGTTTCCCCTGTTGAACTCAGAGAAGAACAGTCAACCTCGTAATCTGCAGCTACCTCAGGAGAAAAGGTCACAAACAACTCAAGACCTTCATGAACAACGTGATTCACCTGGAGCTCTCCATATGCTAAAATCACCTTCTACTGATGGTCATCTTAGAGCTTTGACTGTGTCGTGACTGCCTTTTAAGTGGTCTTTACTATTGCCTCAAACCCTATGCCCTAGCAACTTGCCCGGCCTTGACCTAGTCATTAATCATATTGGCAAGATAACTTACAATTGTCACTGCCCCAAGTCCAACTACACTTCAGCCATCAGGACTCCTCTCTTCCCATCCACCACAAAGCAGATTGCTTCACTCCGTCACTATAGAGGAGACATTAATAGGAAACCTCCAAGTGCTATAATTCAGACATCACTAATAAAAAAGAGAACACTTCCTCATACTTCACAGCTAAAATTCCTTCAAGTTATCTAAAAAGAATGCCCTTCACCTTATACCAAAATAAAGAATAAAGATTTAAATAAGAAAAATCATACCATAAATGTGCTAGATGAAAATACTGGAGAATACATACACACACACAACACACCTGCACACACATACCAGTTTTTAAGTATGATAAATATCCAGAGGGCATAAAAAATTGATAAATTCTACTGCAAATAAAAAAAAAATACTCTTAATACCATAAAGTCAAAAGATAAATATCAAATTGTGAAAAAGACTTATAGCTCACATCACATAAAAGGATTTTCACTCTCTCTATATATATAGTTTTAATCTCCTCAAAAAATAAACAGTTCCAAGAAATTAATAAGAAAAACACCAATAGCCCAAAGGAAAATGAACAAAGGATATAAACAAACTAAAAAAGGAAATACAAATGGATCTTAATCATATAAAAAGATGTTCAATGTTACTCATAAGAAAAATGCAAATTAAAGCTATGAGATTCCATTTTTTACCTATCAAACTGGCAAAGATCAAGTAGTGTGAAATATACTGCATTGGCTAAAGTGTGGCT